GAACAAAGGGGACTTCAGCATGGCTAGTTAACTTTGCAAATTGCAGTTAAACTTAAGTGACCAGAAAGTGGAAGATCGAAAAATAAATAATGTTAACTGCTTTCTTTGCAGGTTAATCTTGCTACCCAAGTATGAAATCTCCCCCCTTCCTCCCATGTATTCTTTAAATTTTCAAGTTCCATACCACTGAATTTCAGGTGGTTCATTGCTGGCTACATTAGTCATTCTGAGCTCATGCTGGTTTTGTCCTTGAGAGTAGAAATACACACTAAAGATATTGAAGTTGTTTGCCCTTTTATTGATTTTCAGTAGTAAATTACCTCAATACTGTAATGCCTTGGAAAGCTTTGTACAGGATGCTTGTCATCATTCAGCTTTTCGGGAAGATAGGTATGCCTAGACCACAATTTGTTGCTCTTGTGAAGCTCCATTCATGCAGTCTTCAAGTTAGTCTGTGATAAATCAGCTAGCTTCCTAATATTTGTAATAAAGGTGTTCAGGACTGGCTTATATTGCTATAATTTTAGCAACTTAAATCCCTCTGCTGTGGAGTAAGAGGGAAGCGAGCTCATGCCTAGAGGATGCGTTCTGTCCGCTTCTGCAGACAGAACAAAGCATCGCATGTCCTGGATGCGGCAGGACCAGGAGCTGGTGAAGGGTCTCCAAGTCCCATTGCGCTGCCATAGCAGTGTGGAGCAATTCTGGTCTGCAAGCGTGAAGCTGGCTTTAAATTTCTCTGTGTTGTTTAGTTCAGAAATCTCTCGTCTATGCTACGTGGAGAAAGGAATCTAACTTGCATATTCATATTATTGGCTCAAATGCTATGTCAGAAACAGGGAAGGAGGAATTCATTGCTCTAGAGACACCCGATGCCCTAAAAATTGTCATGCTGCTTTTGGTGGTTTGTGTTCCCTGCTGCTTATATGATCTAATGCTTTCTGTTTACATACCTGTGACTATTACAGTTCGGGCCTTACTTTCCCATCTCCCTGAAGTAGAAGCAGTATGTTTTCTAGTGAAGTAGCAGGGTGGGCTTCTTTCATGCAAGTAAAAAATTATATAGGGGAAAATAGTGGTTGTACAAAATTGAAATGCATTGTACCCATGTACAGAGAAATGAACATTCCACCAAACTTTCTGAAAATCTTGCTTTCTTTGCTGTCCTGCTTCACAAGCTCTCCAAAATGCGTCATGAGTAACAAAGACCTCTCCCTGCTGTGTCTATAGTTTTCTTCACTGCTTGACATGCTGTTTTCAGATGCGCATGTAGAAAATGAAGCTAGCTATTTTCAAAGTGTTGTCCCTGATGATGTAGTGTTTATTCAACTACTTAGATCTTGTTGGCCCAGATAAATTTCACCTGAGGCCAGCATCTGCTCGCTAATTTATCACCTCTTCTTTTTCATGCCCTTAAGCTGTTTTGACACCAGAGGCTCTGCAAGCTCCATCTGAGGAAGCACCAGCAGCAATACGAAATGCAAGGAAAACAGTGTGAAGTGAAGCTTGGTGAAAATAGAGTTGTGTAATATGGCACTGGTTAGTGGCTGGATGACAGCCATCCTTGATGACATAAATTTAGTGGCATGCGTAACTGCAAAGAACAAAGGAGTTAAGCAGCAACAATACTGTATATAAGAAGTGTTCCTGTGTGTAAATACATATTAAAGTTGTTGCCATAAGCTTGTGATAGAGAGTCAGTGTGCTGTGGTTTTGTCTCCTAATATTCCTTTTGGAAAAACTTTTATCATTCATTTTGGGTTTGTTTTCTTGGTTGTTAAGCATCAGGGAAACTGAGAAATACGTCCAGCAGTCAAATAATTGCCCTTGTTGAAGACACTTGCAGCTTTTTGCAGAGAATAAAATATCATCCAGATGATGAATAAAACCAACTCCTCCTCACAGAAATGAAGCACGACAATAAATTACATTGTTTTTCATTTCTGTTCTCTATTTTTTTAAGTTACAATATGATATGGAAAGGCAGCTCTTTTCCTCTCAGCTTTACAGAACTTAGTAAAGAAGTGGCAGGGGTGTTTTTTAGTAATCATTAGCAGGATGCAGCTGGTGTTTTGCCTTTAAAGTGCTTCATTCTAGCTTTGTACACCTGCACTGCAGGGATTTACAAATACAAGCCAACAGGGAGCTCTTCCGTGTGTCCCGGTGCCTCCCGGATCATCCAAGCGTGCCAGTCCGTACCTGTGACCTGGGGGTCTCATCCCGCAGTCAGGCTGGAGGCTGCTTCCAGAGGTGGGAGAAGATAAGCGAGTAGGGACAGACCAGTGCCCAGATTAACAGCATGAACACAGTCCTGTGCCGCACGCAGTGGTTTTGTGATGCCACGGCTAGTGCACGTGCTTTCCTTTTTACAGGGGTTTGGGCAAACTGTAGTACGCACTTAGTATGCGCGGGACTCTCTTTGCGAATGCGGGAGCGCCGATCCTTTGGCTTGAAGTCGCTTTAAATCCTTGCTTCTGCCGCTGCCGGTGCGCCGAGCAAAGGCTCTCGGACACCAGTAGGAGGCTGGCCTGAGGTAGCTGGTCCCGAGGGCATGGCCCCAAGTGACCTCCCGCAGACAGCAGGGTCTGTGTGTGTGCACACATGCATTGTACGTGTGTGCCTACGCCAAGAAACTGAGGTCTGATTTCCTCTGGAAAAGGTGGACCCAGCTTCTTGCTCCTCTCAGTCCCCTTTCGGGTTATCTTTGTCATTTACAATGTGATCTTCATGCTTATTTTTAGTTTCTAGCCTTTCTCTGTTGAACTGTTACTACATTTTAATTGGCTAAATTGGGAGGCTTGTAGCTGATGAATGTTTCCCCTCTGCAGCTGGATCATCTAGAATAGACATAAACCTTTCTATGCCTCATTTACTTCCAGTTCCTTTTCAAACAGACTTGCACTGTTCCTGGACCTTCCCATCTTTCCTCACCTCTTTCAGTTTTTGTTGTACCTCTTGCTGGATGAATTGTTGTTCCAGCTGTGCATTTGCATTTCACAAATTTTATTTGTGCGGCCAGAAGTTATGTATGGAGCCTTCCTACATCAGCAGTAATGACAGCGGTGCTCGGGTGACAGCTTTTGGCAGGTAGATTCTTCCCAGACTTGTGTTAACAGTTTCAGTACTGCTCCCTGCTGAGTGAGGGTGTTCAACAAACACATAAAAACATTGGCTTCCATAGCTGGAACGTTTGATGTTGAGGAGTGAAATAAGACTACTATATTTTATTTTATTTTTTTCCTGCATGGATGAAAAGAAAACTACAAGTCAGGCTTTTATGAAATAGCTCCTACTCATCTCTGTACTGTACTTTATTCTAAGGATTAAATAGAAGTCAGTTTCGATGTGCTCCATCTATCGTTCATCCCAAACGCGAATGGTTTTATTGTCATGATTTCCCTCTGTCCAAGCAGATCAAGATGAGAGATGATTTACTATGATTAGAGATAGTTTAAATGATCAGAGGTCACTTGCTACTGGCAAATTGTGTCTGGTTTCTTCTGAGAGATGAGAGCAGCACACTACCTTGTTCTGCTTTATGCATTTGCATAAAATACGCTTGTCAACTGATGTCTTTATGATGCACTTTTCAGAGTATGGGGGGTTAAAGTTTGCACACTGTCACAGCAGTTTGCTGGGAGAAGTTCCTTCACAATTGAAAAAAAACAAATATGTTTATAACTAAATGGGGGATTAGGTTTTAGGCTTTTCATTTGCACTGCAGTTATGTGGTGTTCTCTGTCTAAGACTGTGCGTAGCTACAACCAGCATTTGTGAAGCTGGTGCGTTCGCTAAGCCCGTGGGAAAGTGCCAAACTTGACAGTTTTTATAAATTGCTGTCTTTATGACAGGAAACTGGGAGGGGAAGGGCCCTGTATCTGAATGGACCAGCAAGGAGAAGATGGGGGTGTAAGGACAGATGTGTCCCCAAGTCACTATTCTCTGTGGTGGAAGCAACGCCCAGAGCAAGGGTCTTGCTGAAAGGTTGGATGTGAGCCATGGAACTCTATAAGCATCCGGTAAATGTTTTGGCTGGGTGAGGAGGAGACCTCCTGGAGGACAATTAAAGACTAGGCGGGCTTTTTTTGCTTTGTTTTGTTTCTGTTCAGCACTCTCTAAACACAGCAACTATTTTTATATATTTGGTGGGGGTAGTAGAAAGTATTCTTTACTTCTAACTGAACATGTAGTCTGTCAAGAATGATTTGAGGATGAATGGCAAGCCATTGTCAACATGGTCGTGAGTCATAGACAGGGGTTCAGTCGTGCTTGTAGCATTCAGCACCCTCAGGCAAGGTTGGGATTCCTAGACAGTTCCTAGATGGTCCAGCCCGAAGCAGCACAGACTGGCTTAAGAGCTTGTGATGCAGAATACACCTCCTGGTCTGAGCATCCCTGGCAGGCCTGTGAGTACGTGCCTAAACCTTTAGCTTCCACTGAGTTTGTATTCACTCTCACAGCTGACTTTATGATGTGAAATATCATTTAATATGAGCAGGAGTATTGTGGCATGTGCCTGAAGGGCTGTAACGCATGCAAGTGCTTCTTTTGCCTTTGTGTGTTCTATGAAGGTGATAGGTTAGAGGCTAAAAGCTGAAGCCTGGTACAGGATTTTTAACATGGTGCCAAAAGTGCAGTAAAAATACATAGTTTGTCTAAATATGATAGTTTTAAAATTCAAAACACTATAGAACAAAATTTTTAAAGTATTCTGAAGATTACATTGTAGTTTTTGGTTTGTCATTTCTGGTGTTTACTTCTAGAAAACAGCTCTGTAGTTGCACTGGCAAGAGCAAATATTTTTTTCTATGTGTTAAGCAGCTCAATGAAATGGGAAGAAGGAAACTGGTTGATGTACGCAACGTAGTCCTTTGGCAAGGCCTGTGAAGCTCAGATGTTTCCTATGCAGCAGATGCTTTAACTGAGTGTTACGAATTGCTCTTGTAAAGCACACCTTCTAACAGATGTCACTCTTCTGTTTCCCCTTACTCTTTTGCAGCAAGTGACAGGCAGAAGTTTTGGTGAGAAGGATTTTCGTTCTGGATTAGAAAACGGCATTCTTCTGTGTGAGTAAGTAACACTTACAGTTCTGAGCCTTGAATACAATGTTGACTAAAACTGAAATGAACTTTAGTGAATATGTCCAATTGTTGGTTTCCTTTTGCGAGTTCTGACATTGTTCACACTGGTATTTCACTGCCGCATCATTTCGGTGCCAAAGCTATTGTTAAGGTGAGGATTAAAATGTGGCTTAAACAAAACAGGTTTTGCAAAGTGCTTCCCTCACTCCACCCGAGCTCCTCAGTTGAGTTATGTGAAGTAAAAACGATGTTTGCTTTTTGGTTTCCTTTGATTTAAAGATGTTAACCATGGATTGGCAAATGGTGTTCCACACCTGCCTTTGAATGTCTCTGCTACAGTGAGGTGTTTTGGACCAACTCCAGGTCCGAGCACTGTCAAGAGTTAGCCATCTGAATGCCATCAATACTCAGCTGCTTTTGTAGTTTCTGGAAAGGTTAGGCATCCTCTAAATTTTACCTGAAGGTGTATTTGAATGAAGTGTTTTGTAATTTTTGGACAAGAGACACAAGTCAGCTTTTGCATGTTTCTTTCTGGGTTTAATAGCTAGTTTTAAGGCAGAGTCTTCCAAAAGCACGTTGTGGGCTTAGATGACAAAGCTCGTGGCTTTTAAGAGGAATTGGAAGTGTGTCCTAATGCCCACAGTTCTTTGAAAATCCCATGCAGGATGTCAGGAGTTCGGGATCTGAATCACCTGTATGGACCGGTTTCTTTCTCTGGGCATGCAGAGTTGTCACTAATGTTGGTAAAAAGCTGTCTGAGCATACCAGAAGGATGAAGCCTGTGCAGAATTGAATGCACGCTGAAAGTCATAAATGAGATCTCCTGAGATGTTTAGCTGGCCCATTGCAGCTATTGGTGAAGTTTTATACTCTGAAAGGTATTGGAACTTGGAAACTGTTTTCAGCAGTAGTGTTGAGCTAATATCCTGTAACTCAGCTCTAGGTAGCTTGCGATAGCTTTGGAACCTGCTCGTGTAAATACTGTTGTACTTCTCGCTGGTGTCGTTAGTCAGACAGCTTGAACTTTAGCTGTTAAAGGGGAAAAAAACATAAAGGAAATGATACGGTCTGGTTTGATTGTAGTTGCATGCCTTTGCTGAGGAGTGGCTTTGGGAGGAGGGAAGTAGTTGTTATTGTTGATCAAAAATAGTGTAACTGTGGAGGAGCATGTAGTTTACCTCTTTGTATTTAAGGGTTGCCTCTTGCACAAGACCTCTCTCCTCTGTGCATTCAAGGGAAGTACTGTGTGCTGAATCACTTCGCAGTGCTCTTTAAGGTTGAATTGTGTTGCAAGAAAAATAAGGGATGTGTGTTTCAAGATTAGATTGTAATCTTATCTGCAAGTAAGCAGAAGTAGTCTGATTTAAATGCTGTAAATCTCTAAGATGTACAGCTCAACTAACTAATGTTTTGCTAATGAAACGCGTAAATATGTGTTTCTTAAGAGGCTGTGAGCTCCAGTAATAAGCACGTCAAGGGACACCACTTGGTTATACTACTAAATTGCTCTGTGATGCTGGGCAAATTGCTTGTCTTTGTTTTCCACCTATGGATCAGTGCAAAGCGATCTGAAGGGATCTGTCTCCTCCACCTCAAATCTGAGAGGCTGTGATGTTTGTACTGCATCCCACTCCTGGCACCTGTGGCTAGTGGGTAAAACCCCATAGGCTACAGAGCATTAACCAGAGAGCTACCGATCTGGCCTGCAATTTCAGCTTTCTGATGATGAACACATTATGAGGCCAACAATCAAAGTGTGCTCCTCACTGGCTCCATGTCCACTGTAAAATAAAGAACTCAGCAGAAATTTGAGGTGTAACATTGAGAGCTCTTAATGAATCTTCAAAAAGTACAGATTTTGGCAAGTGAAGCACTGATAGTTAATTTTTTATCTCTTGCTCAGTGGAGAAGTGCTAGTGAAACAGCCACAGGCAATATTGTCTCTGTAGACAGGAGTTTTCTGGTTTATCGGAGACCTACCTAGGTACCTCATGAACAAAATCTAGTGGTATTTAAGCTCTATCTCAACCTCTTTCCAATCTGTTGTACTTTCATCACAGCTGAGCTCAACAAGTAGATGACAATCTGATCTCAAAGTCTCTGATAAGCTACTGAAGGCAAGAAAGAAGTTATAGCTGTCTTAGGTTTCTGAAGATGGAAGAATTCATTGCCTTTGATCTGATTTATCTGATTTGCTGAAGCTTTAGGGAGAAAATAAATTTGCCTCAGTTTGTCTCCACAGGACAGTACTCGCTGCTGCTGTCATTAACGGGCAACTCGTAGTCAGACACTTGTGTGGGTGATGGCCACGTGAGCATGGAGTGGTGCTCACTTGCACGTGGCTGTTTCGGTGTTTTCCTTGCGTCTTGTATTTTGCGATGAGGACTGAAAGCAATCTCGGGTCCTGAGGGATCCCAGCAGCTACAGGACTGGAAACTGATGTCAGGAATGGTGACACAGCCAGCATACCCTGGGTCTCCCAAACATGTCTCGAGCTGCCCTCTGAGTTTGCAGGCATTTTGCAGAAGGGAGGGGATGGGGGCTAGCCACTGCGCCGGAGTCCATTCCCCAAACAGTCAGACAAGCCATGTGCAGAAGGGCACAGGGGAAATCTTTTATCTCTGTCTAGAGCAGGATTGTTGGAGCTTTAGGCACAGTAATGCCAGGCCTCCCTCCAGTTGATCCTGATATCTATGGCCTACGCGTGCTGCAAACTCAGGCAGACATGACTACACTGATTATAAATGATTCCTTCATGTCTAGTAACTATCCATGTATTTCAATAAATACAATGGTGCGATGCCAGACACGGGGACTCTTGGGAGGGCTGTGTTGTGGCCCACCAGCCTGGCCAGCGGAACGGCCCTGCGCTGGTGTGCTGGCCACAGGCACCCACAAGCCTCTTGCCTGCCTGGCTCGTCGTGGTGGTGGCGGTCGCGCTGCAGCAGTCATCTCCACCTGGCCTCCCGACGGCACTGTCATCGCTCGCCGCACTCCGCCTGGGAGCTGCGGGGCGTGTTTAAGCAATGCAGGCTCCCTAAAGTGGCAAGCTGATGGGTGAGAGGGACACAAGCCCTTCGTTCTTTCTGGGTGCTTGAAAGCCCGCTTGTGCAGCTGCGCTGACAGTGATGGCTCTGACTGTTGACCCAGCTGTGCAGAGAAGCCCGTGACTACGACTTCTGTCTTTCTGAAATGATTTCAGGGGTTTTTAGCATGGCTGTCTGACATCAGTGCAGATGGTGATTTCAGCAAGGGACATCATAGCTAGGCGGAGGGGATTCTTGCTCTGTTCTTGCTTTGTGTATCAAATTCTCACAGGCAAAGACTGAGGAGTTTCCTGGCTACGCTTCTGCATGGGTGGGCAAATGTGCCCTCCTGGGGACATGGTGGAAAGCTGTATGAGGCAGGGATACAACACCAGTAGCAGGAAATATCCCTAGAAATCCCCAATTTTCGCTCCAGCGTGTGTCCCTTTTTTTTTTTTCTTGTTACATAGCTTTAACATTTAGGTTTGACCCAGATATCATAAGAAGCTAGAGGATTAATCAGGAATAAATTAGATCTGGTTGTTGCAATGCTTAGGTGTTCCTGTTTTACAGATTCAGACATTTGAATGAAGGTTGATTGCAAAAGAAAAGCGTATGTTGCCTCCATCCACCTGCCCCGCTGATTTAGGTGGTCCTGTTGCTTTTCTGAAACTGCAGATAAGGATGCTGAAGTCACTTTTATTTCTAACCATGCACCAATTGCTACTAATAATTTTAATAGTTACTACATAAAGACAAAAATGCAGAAGTCTTCCTGCAACCTTACCCAATTGTTACTGCTCTAATATTCTTGCAATTGTGTTTTGAAGGTGAGCAGTTCCTTTCTTTTCTCCTTGCCCAGCTCTGCTACTGCAGGATTCCTTCTTTCACATTGGGCATCCAGCAGTTGGAGAGGTCTCTGTGGGGATGTAAGACTTGGAAAATCCAAGTTAATTACTTGCTTTGATGTGACTGTCTAAGGGTGATAAATATCCAACATCTGTAAGCATTTCTGACATGCAGTTGTGATCATATTTTCTCTCAGGCTTTCTCTGGAATCAGGCAGTACTAGGAGTCCAGCCATCCTTAAATTTTGTATTAGTGGTAATGAGAGTCTAATGTCAGGAATAGGACCAAACCATAAAGAAGACTAACAACAATGGCTGGGATGTGGATCCTGGGCAAAGGATCTTAAACAATGAACTCAAACCAAATCCAGATTTAGATATCAGCAGAAATGATTTGGCTTTGCAGTGGAGGCCAGCAGAGTCATGATTGTGGGTAATGCCTCGGGTTCTGTATGTAGAACAGGTTAGCTGCGTGTCTGTTTTATGTACACACGTAAATCAATTTATAGCAGTAAATGGAGGCATAATAAATCTTTGATTTTTCTCAAGCAAGAAAGTTGTAACGAATATTTAACTGCACACCTTGGGAAGCCAAAGCAGAAACATATAAAAGTGAAAGAGGAATAACTGTAGGTCACTTCACTTGCGTATACAATTTTGGATATCAACTTATGAGCATTTTCCCCAACTTTTTTTTGTTTCTTAGAGACACTTGTGTTGTATATTAGCACATGATGTTATGTAGCTTAGTAAGATGTGCAGAAACTATGCTTATTATTTGAAACCACGATTCTTTGACACTGTAACTTTTTCTTTATTTTTTGAGAGAGCAGATACAAAGGTATTTTATTGCTTTTAAGTAATCTTGGTAAAATTGGGTATGTACACTGAATTAAGGAAAAAGTTTTACTCTTTTTCTCGAGTACGACAGTATCTAGGAAAGGCAGTTCCCTTCAGCTGTGTGTATTTGGAATATATTCTCTTAAAAAGTATGAGAAAGTTTTTAGGTTTTACTTTTATATTAAAAAAAAAGTGAGAAGTTAGTCATGCACATAGATTATTTTAATAGTATTTAAAGATAAAGTGAAGTGTGGCTATAAATCTGAGCGAGCGGA